AGCTACAAACAGAACCACTGGATTTAACAATATCAAGAGTGTGTGGTAGACGGATTGAACCACCAGATGCATCAATAGCAGAAACGAGTGGGGGACAAGCGGAACTCAGCGAAACTGATCACGAAGATGCAGCAAGGTCATTGAACTTCCAATTCAAGAAGCGAGTAGGAAACAAACAAGTGTAGGAAATATGCCAAAGAAAATCTGGCTTACGAGGTATCAAAATGAAGCATCCAACAACCAAATACTCAGAAGGAAACATCCAGAAAATACGACTCACACAGGTGAGAAGCGGTTCAAATGCGAAATATCCAAGAAGAATTTCGTTGCTCCATCGAGCACACATACAATGAATCATGCGAATGAGAAACCGCACTCTTGTTCGGAATGCAACATGAGTTTCATCTGGCCATCGTATCTCGACAGACATATGAAGATTCATACCGGTGAGAAGCCGTATTCTTGTTCGGAATGTGGGAAGAATTTCGCCCAGTCAGCGGGTCTGTATAGCCATAAGCAAATTCATACCGGTAAGAAGCCATATTCTAGTTCGGAATGTGGGAAGAATTTCACCCACTCATCGAATCTGCGTACACATGAGAAAATTCATACTGGGGAGAAGCACTCTTGTCTGAAATGTAACAAAAGCTTCTCCCAATCGGGAAATATGAGAAGACACATGAAGGTTCATGGCAATGCTGGCCCAGATTCAGTTGAACTGTATGAGGTAAAGCTTTCCTGCGGAAATTCTCTTTGAAATCACACATGTTGGGCTGATAAACACATTTTTAACCGAAATACGCATTGCTATTCTGCTATATTTTCTATAGAGCAAATTCATTTTTCCTTGCTGTATTGTTAGCACTGTATTCCTTTATATGAAAATTGATATTGTTCTTCTAAGACTTCTTTTTCGTTCTTCTTATCGTGATGAATAAAATTTCCCCTTTCGTGGTTACTTGTAACTAATTAAACATGTTTTTCATTATTAATGCGAATATATGACGAGCAGGCAACCTGCATGCCATGCATGAAGAACATGCAATTGAGTTACTAAATTACTGATGAAATGAATTGTCTCAAGTGGATTCCTCACTCGATTATTGCACAAACAACACTGAAGTAAAATTTTGGCAACGAAAAGTCTTTTCTTAATCACAGC